ATATTATTTACATATAGGAAATCTATTTCAATAAAGATTAAATCTCGTGAAATAGAATATTCTTTGCTTTCTAAATCATATAATCTCCAACTTTTCTTCCTAAACAGATACCTAATAAAAATGCACTTTCAGCTCCAACTAGCAAATTTATCTTTATCTCGATTTCGATCATGTGCATAACATAAATATCCAAAGGTTCGAATATGTTTATATGAAGCTACATGTCTGTATAGGGTTTTATATGGTGTTCTACCATCCAATAAAAAAAATGTGTTCTGTTAATCAAAATATTCAGCCGCAAAAATACATTCGCCCTAAAACTAAATAGGTAAATTTACTTGAAAACACAAGGCTTTTGCAACATTTAGAATGTGAGGATGCTTACTTTCTACATGTCTATTCTGTTGGGGTGTCCTGACATAAGAAGTTTGATGCAAAATTCTATATTCAATAAAATATTCTTTTACACACATAAACTCAGTACTATTATCACTCATAACAATATTCACGTCTTTATCAAATTGTTGTATAACCATTACGATGAAAGTTTTAAGAACACAAGTAACTTCGTCTTTTATATTCAATAAACATATCCACACCGCATGAGAATAATCATCAAAACTTGTCAAGAAATAAACAACTCCAAAAAAAGTAGGAACACTATAAGCTGCCCACAAATCACAATAGATCAAATCAAAACTTTTATTATCACTATGGAAGAACACTTCTCTTGTTTATTTAGCTCTAAAGTAGATGTCGCATAACTTATTTTTGACACTATCATTTTTATTAGGATGACCAACTTCAAAAATTAATTATCCTATCTAGAGGGTGGATGACCCCTTTTTTTATATTGGAGCTCAAAAGATGCAATACTAGTTGTTTTGTACATACGAACATGAGTCACTCCTATGAGAAAATAAAGCTTCTCGTGTTGTTCTCTTGCTCCAATTAATATCCACGAACTGCGGTCCTATAAAACACAAATTTTATTAGTGAATTGAACAAACAAGTTGGAATCATTAAGAAGTTATGACACAAAAATCAAATTGCACTTTAATTTAGGCATAAACACAACAAACAATAGTTTTAATTTCCCTCTAATAATCATTTTTCCTTCTTTTAAAGCTATGGTCTCCATTGCATCTGGCAACTTAACCAAACATGACGCAATATCGCACAAGTCACTCAAATGTGCATATGTCCTTGTAACGTGATGCGAAACCAATGTGTCAATAATCCAAAGCAAAATATTTTGCTTACCTCTTAACCTCTCTTTCACACCACGTTTGTGTGAGTTTAACATGCTGAACAATGTGGCCCACTATTCGTCGCTCAACCCTGATGTGAAATCGAATCAACCATCATGATCAGAAACACCACATATATTTCAGTATTCAGAATACTAAAACTCTTAACAAATCCTCCCTATTTGACCTATATTCAATACGTGAATGTTAACCAAAGGTAATTGGGATCAACATTTAAATTGATTAAACGCCATAAGATATATTCTTGATAAGTAAAATCAATTCATATGGACTGATAAAGCACACAAAAAATTACCTTAATAAATTGAATTAACTCGTTACTCAGCA